CGCAAATGATTTCGGTCCACGTACATTTACTAACAGCAGTCGCAAATAAAAACATTCATCGTTTCTAGGATGAACAGTGTACATACGACCTAGTGCATCAGTTGAAAACACCTGTGGCTCACGCGATGTCTCAATCGGTCATTTTCTCTTATTATATTTTGTCTTTCTTCTCTTAAGTTCCTTGAATATACTTGTTGCTGGCTTGCATGTCTTGTGCGGCGACCGATGTTCGCACGTCGTTCTCTAGGCATTTTGGACTATGGACAGAGTGTTGAATTTAACTTCAAATGCACGATCCACATAATTTACATAATTTATTTTAGCTTAAATGAAATTAACTGAGCAGAGAATAATGACTATCTGTCAAACACTTTATCACGCACCGTTGCTATTGGTTTGAAGTACATGCTATGTATAATAGATGGCGCTGTATGTGAAAAACGATTTCCCCACTTTTCTGTTGAATTTTTCCTGAATTTTCCAGAATTTTCTTTGCTATAAACCTCACGGAGCCCAAGACCTTTCCAACGAATGCAAAACCGTGGAAATCGGTTCGTGCGTTCTCGAGTTATAGCGTCAGGGAGGAAAACCGGACTTATTTTTATATAATAGATATATTATATATAATATTATAATAGCTAGACACTTCAACACTTGACATTTTCAAGGCATCTTCGTAGTATCACCATGTAAGGGTGCACTATAAGTAAGAATTATCCAAAATTCTCATTTTAAAAAAGTGATCACTCAAGGATTTTTGAGATTCACTATGGATTACAACTTTTTTTTGTTTATAAATGGTTACTAGGTATTGGCTATAGACAGGGTTGGGCAGTATCAAAGATACATGTATCAAAGATACGTATCAAAGATACAATTGTATCTTGTATCTTGTATCATGATACATAATTTTACAGTATCAAGTATCATGTATCTTGATACATTTTTTACTAGTATCATGTATCTTTTTTTGCCAAAAGATACAAGATACTATTATTGTAAAAATAATTTCGTCGCGGATTGTATTTGTACGAAAAATATTGTCCAGGTGCAATCCAGCCGAAATATTAACGATAGCGAAAAAATGTACCACACAATCTTATAAATTTAAGATAATCTGATAAACATAAAATTAAATTAAGGCGCCCGTATGACCGTAGCCCACACGCAGACCGTGTCAATAATCAATAGTCTCATAAAATATGAATCCGCTGTCTAGATATGAGTGTAACCGTTTAGGTATATTGTTATGCACTTTCTTAATTTTGGTGTATTTATATTATAAATGTGATGTATTAGTTATAAATGTATAATGTGTACCTATTGACTTATTATATTATAATGTGTACAGTGTACCTATTGACTTATTATATTATTTGATATAATTATGACTTTATAAGTATTTATAAATACTATTATTATGTAGGTATAATAATAATATTATGTATTTATTATGTATAGACGGTATAGTGAATTGTGTATAGACGTTTTACGTTTAATAATTAATAAAATTTGATTGGAAATATAAAAGTATCATGTATCTTTGATGTATCAAAGATACATGTATCTTGTATCTTGTATCTTTTCTTCATTCACAATGTATCTTGTATCTTGTATCTTGATACACAAAATGTATGTATCATGTATCATGTATCATGATACTTTTTTTTGAGTATCTTGCCCAACCCTGGCTATAGATAGTAATATTAATAAATTAATAATATTATTAATAAACAAATTAGTAGAAATTAGTATTTTTGTGTGTATTAATAGTTGTCTTTGGTTACTCGGGAAGATGAGGTAAAATATCGAATCAAATCTACGTATTTACATGGCCTCGATTAAAGAAACTATATCTTAAAAACAAATGTATGTTTGTAGCTTATATATTCCAAAACTACAGGACTGATTTTGAGGAAAACGTCAGAGATTATTCTTAGAGATATCATAAACGTTTTGAGAGTAATTTTAATTGCGTTAAAAATATACCAAGTGCTAAATCCAATCAGTGACTTGTGGTTAGCCGTATACATACCAAAATATACCAAGTGCTAAATCCAATCAGTGACTTGTGGCTAACCTATATATGTCGAATTATTTTATTAAATAATAATTATTATTATTATTATTATTATTATTATTATAAACGCCCGCGCCAATTTGCTCTTGGATTGAGGTATACTAAAACCGAGATACATCCAGTATAAATGTTAATACATAAAATATATGGAAACATTATATTTTAAGATTTACGATTCACAATAGTATATTGTGTGGCAATTGCGGGAAGTGAGTTATTTCAGTAGCGGCGCTACAGTGGCGAGCAGCACTTTTGGGGGGGATTTTCACTTTACCTCCCGGCACTATTAGGGATTCCCACTTTACCGCCCGCTGGACGGAAAAAGGACGCTTTCTTGTTTCTAACGCTTCAACCGCTATCGAAAACCAAACTTTCGGTGCAGGTGTGGCAAAAAAAAACAATTAAAATTCGACATTTCATGTTAAAATAAAGTTAATTCAAAATTAGATTAAATGTCCGATACTACAAAATAATATGTAGTACTACATAATAGTATGTAGTATTGTAGTACCTACTCGCAAACTTATCTATAACCTGATTTGCATCATTATCAGACTCATAGGAAATTATCATCAATTGTTTTAATAATGGTCATGAGAAATTGTTGTTCTCAATCGATTTTTGAAAATGTTTAATGGTTTGGTTCTCGATACTGCTAGATACTGGTAGGTATATTATAAGCGATTTAAAGAGCCGTGTATACTGTATAATGTGTCGAAAATGCTCTGTAATTAGGAATTTTGTGTTTTGAAATAATTTTAGATTCGACCAAAGATAAATAATCATACATAATTATTAAACTGTCATAGAAATTCGTTTTAGGAATACGACGACACAAGCATATTAATAACCTGCTTATAGAGTAAAATACAGTACTGTAATAATGCATTGACGTAGCCAGGGGGGGAATTGGGTGTTTAAACACCCCCCATTGACATTTTCCTCCCTAATAAAAATATTGTTTAGAGTAAAACACGATTGTGTACGTTCGACCTTTTTGACAACACGATTGCGTATGTTTGTAGATGGGTTAAAAGTACCTTTCTGAAAAAAAAAATAAACACGATTGCATATGAAATTGTATGCAACGTTGTCAAATTTACTTATTTCATCCTATATAAAATAAATAATAATATAATAAATATCGAATAAATTATCGTAAATTGTTATAAATTGTATAAATTATATAAATTATAAATTATAAAATAAACACGATTGCGTATGAAATTGTATGCAACGTTGTCAAATTTACTTATTTCGTCCTATATAAAATAAATAATAATATAATATAATATAATAAATATCGAATAAATTATCGTAAATTGTTATAAATTGTATAAATAATATAAATTATAAATTGTTTAAATATCTTTAAATTAGAATCCCTTGAAATCTATAACCTACTACTTTTAAATACTGAATACCTAACATTTTTATGAATTTTGTACTCATCATAATCCTTTATTGTATTTTGAATCCTGTTCAAGTCTTTTTTTGCCATTTTCTTTACTCTCCCATTATTAACTGATTGTATTATCGATCTGGTTTGCATTTGGGTTTATTTCAATATTTGAATAACAACATGTGTTGGAGGATGAGCACTGTGAAATTGTCCGTTATAAGTCCTATGAAAGCTTATAGGATTTGTTTATATCTAGGGTTTGATACTGCTCGCATTATTTTAGATAAGTTATAAATTTGTCTTATGAAATTTTTTAAATGACTAATCAAACAAAGTTTGAATTTGCATATTTTAGGAAAAGTGTACATTTGAGCGATTTTTCGCATATTTATGCATATTTTGCATTTTTCTAACTTAAATGTGCGTACATACAATTGTCGGGAAAAATCATACTTGGATAACATTGAAAAATATCTTTAAAAATATTATGTTTGGTTAGGTACAATAGGCTATAATTTTGAGATTTGGGGAGGCCGAAGCCTAAAACCATACTATTAAAAAATTGAATTAAAAAAATTTAGTAAATGATTGGGAGGGTTGTTAAAGTTGATGGTGGAGCTTGGCTATACGGTTTGCCCTATTTTCGCATAGTTATGGTATGTAAGATTTTATAAGTCTTTGTGACAAGACTGTGTTAAAACTATAATTGACATCTACATTCTAGATTGTACGAAGAAATGAAAATCAGTAGATACGTGTTCGTTTATCACGGTGTTCGCATATCACGTTATTCTTTATTACATATTTATTAACCTAGTATTTTATTCCAGTATTTTTAAAAATCAAGTTGTTTTATTTCACAATAGTTTAAAAATGTCCAAAACATGCAATAGTGCATGGAAAAAAATATTAACTAAAAATTTTTAGGTAGAAATATTATAGTTGTATCAACTATATTTTAGTTGAATATACTACATTTTTACCAAATAACTTAGCGAAATCAACCAACTATAATTAGTTGAAATATTTTGGTTGATTTAACTGTAAAATATAGTCGAAATGATATGACTAAATAAAAATAGTTAATACAACCATAATAATATAGTAGGTATGGGTTTTTCCACTGCGCTGTGCCATCTCGTTGTGAATTTGATTCCTTTGTCTTATCATCATTCGAAAATCGAAACCGAAACCTGTCTAGTCTTAGTGCGTACATACAACATACTGCATAATATTCTTATGTAATGCGTGTTTAATTAACTTGTTATAAAACATTGTTATAAATTAACTGTGATTCTGTGAATTTATTGATTGTGTATTCCTATTTCGCCGTGTCACGTGTTGGTACAGCAAGCGGAATCAAATGTAAGTACCTACCTACATTTATTTCATATTTATATATATTACATTCCACATAATGAATATTATAAAACATACACTTATATAAACGTGAGTCGTAATCACTATTTTTAATTACGTGATATTTTTTACTATGTTATTCAGTCAACAAATCTATAGATGGATGACTTTACAGATACTTTGTTGAGAGAATGGGGCTCGGAATGTGGAATTGATGATAATACAATAAATATTTTCAAAGGTAATATAAAGCTAGTTGAATCATAAGGACATTTTGATTCATACATAAATTATATAACTAATGCTAGTGTGTTGCACCGTTATATTATAAGTATAGGGAAACCCCTCTATGATGGAATTGCTGGGGACCAACCAGAGTTTTTTGGCATTAGAGAGGTAAATTTCACATATTTTTGAATCAGAACTTGATATTTTTCGTCATAAGGAGGATTCCGTCTAATATGGAGGGTCCATTATAGAGAGGTTTTACTGTACTTACACATTGAATATTGCACTTATAGTTATACTTCAATTCTAATCATCAATAATTAAATATTTATACTAGTGATATAGGTACTTATATAAGGTATTGTGTTTACTTTTATAAATCGTTTAAGACTAAATCCACAATGCATAAAATATTAAATCATACTAACAAAAATATTAATTGTAATTATTAAAAAATAAATACCCATTTTTTTTGTTTTACAATACTGAATGGATTAGACTATTGGTGTACAGTAGTTGGAAACATATTTTTAGTTAGGTAATGTCGTACCTAATTATTATGAATTCAATAAATAAGATGTACTAGCCAATATTATCTTAAAGCAATATACCTCTTAGGCAAAGTTCAAAATATACAAAAAAGTAAGAAAATCAGAATAGTGAATGTATATAGGTAGTTAATTATAATATCCTATGGCCTAGGGATGTATATAATATAAATCTACCAGAAAATAAAACAATTTAGAGACTGTTGCTATTAAAACCAATAATTTATCTTGAAAGTATAATAGTTATAATGTATTGAAGAAATAATATTTAGATGAAGAAATTGATAAAGAAGCATTTTTATCTTTAACTGAAGACATGATAAAGGAACTAATTCCAAAAATTGGAAAAAGAGCTAAATTTGTTCAAAAGCTGGAACAATTTAAAAGGAAAAGTCTAGTATGTAAAAAATGTTTTGTTTCTGTTTATTATAATCGGGGCCTACAAATTGAGGTGCCTCATGCAAAATAGTGTAACGGGGACCTTTAATTTATATACTTCTTTCATTCTGGATAAACAATCTTGTTTTGAAAAAATTAAATTAATTCCAATCACCCAATAATACAAAAAATATCAATTATATAGGATTCTAGTCATTATTTCAGCATTTTCTATGTTCCTGCTTATGTAAAATAACAAATGAATTCTGGTTAGGTAAACTAAAATATCTTAAATACATCAACAAATAAAAAAATATGCAAACATTTTTTGTAGTAAGCTCTGTTTTGTTGGGACCTCAAAATTACATAAAAATCTATGCATGCAGGTAAATCCTACCCTTACTCTGGCCCTGATTATACTTTAAATCTTTCATTTTGTTGGTTTACAAAATTTACCAAGTGCATACAATTTTTTAAATCGTATAATTCTTACCAAATTAACCTATTGTTTATTTGCTCATTAGGAAGTTTTTCAAGAAAATAATGTACAGCCACTTATTTTACCACCAGTAGACACAAATGGTAGGAATTTAATCTATATTATGTACCAACATTAAAAAATAGGTGGATTATATTATTTCTATATGATTTAATTTTTGTATATACGTCTAGAATCTGATAAATGCAAAAATATTCAGATTTCTGATATTGAAGTTTTTGAATTTGAAGATATTCCTACACCTGACAATCTTTATACTCAAGATTTATTTCAAGATAAAACATTATATAGACCTGGAACTTCTGCTATAATAGGTTAATATGTTTCACTAATATTCCACCACTCTGTTTTATTTTGTTTATTGCATACGTTTTCAAGAATATTTTGTAATTTATTTTTTAGATAATGATATAACATCTGAGGTGAATGAGGAATTGAGATGTAAAAGTAGCTTTTATACTGTAGAGGTATTTTTTTTCATTACTCAATATAGTATTATATATCATATTTTTTTTAAAAGAATCAATTTATAAAACAAGGTATAGTTCTAACATACCACTTAGTTTTTGTATGTACATTTTAGGAATCAGCATCAAAAGACTATATCAAAAAAATACTTAATAATTATTCTGACGGTAATTTAGTTATTAAGTATTATGAATCAGTTGGCTCTTTAAACCAGTCAATGAGGAACACATTAGCCTCAGTTATTATAAAGCATGAAATTCAACACAACACAAAAATTGACAAAATTAAATTTTTATTTTTATCAAATGGTATACCTTAGTTAATTTTGGAATAATAAATCTAATTTACTTAATTTATTAATTTTTTACGTAATAACTAAAATTTAAAAACTAATTAAATAATGTTATGTAAGGTATTCACAATTTGTTTTCTAATGAAAATAAGGAAACATATTTCACACCTTATTATAAAGAAGGTCATAATGTAACACCTATGAGAGGAAAACTGTACGATAAATATTGTAATTTAAAAAAAGAAATCAAGAAAACTAATGATCAATCAATTGATATACCCACAAACTCGATCAGTGATGATAATAGCATAAACTTAAAAGATTCGGGTATTAACTGTTTTTTAAAACTTTTTTATAATACATTAAGATATTTTTACTTAAATAAGTTAATTTATTATATTATGTATCTATTTTAATAGATTATGAAGATAAATTATTATGGCTTAAAAATAATACAGAACCCATCCAAACACTTCAAAAATTCTGGATAGAAATTATGGAATACCAGCAAAAAAAAAAGGAAAATTTAATAGAACTCTATCTTGGTCTTCAAAGACCTACAGGATATATTTCGGTACTTTTTTAGTTTGAATTATTTATAAAGAGTTAAACACAATACAATTATACTTCAGATTAATGACTAGTATTGTAATATAAAAAAAATATTACGAATATAAAATAATATATTACAAAATGTGTTTTTACTTTTAATAATATATTTTGTCAATAATCACTATAATATCTGTTTTAGATTCAACTTGATTTCCAGGATTTATATCCAAACAAGGAATTTTTACTACTGAATAAAATTGATGTTTTTAAAGTTCAACTCATAAAATACATAGACAAATTTAATTTTCAATTTGGAGTTCAACATTTCAATACTGTTAGAGAATTAAAGAATCCTTCAAAGCCTGGTAAATATTATAATCAATGATTATTTTTGTTAAAGTGTCCTTAATTTCTTTATTTTTTTTTCTGTATAGGTAACGACTATGTATCAATTTTAAAATTACTTCCTCTATTGTTTCAACCAATAACTATAAGACTAAACAATAAAAGAAAAAAAGATTGCATGCCATCAGTTTGGAGACCATCAAAAGTGGAGCAAGCTGCTGCTTTTGTAACATTTATATCTGTAAGTTTTATTTATGAACGTAAACTCAAAAAAAAATTAAAAAAAAATATGTTAACATGAAACAATATATTACAGGATGTCGGTGAATTGAAAACATTACACAACTCAAAAATAGAAAAAGCTCTACAATTTGTGTTAACATTGCAACCGTATGTAATAATTGTTGGTTCAACCGAAATATTTACAGTTGTTAATAATATTTATTTTAAATTGGAAACACCACTGAAAGGCCTTGACGTATGTTTCAAAACATTTTTTTCATTAAATGTACACTATCCTGCAGAAAGTGAGCGAGTATGGTTTTTCATACAGAAATATTTTTATGACATAAATCTTAAATCGGATAAAAACATATTATCAGTACAAACTCTAATAAATGATTTGAGTAACATATAATTATATTTTGGTATAGTTAAACTTTGTTTTGCTGAACATTATTTATATTATTATTATTATAAGCATGTTGTTAAGTAAGATTGCCGATTGGTATATAAAATAAAATAAAATTTTACATTAATATGTAGTTAATAAGTTATCTATAACTTACCAATTATAGTAATAATAATAATTACTAATAATTTAATATGTTGCTCAGTTGAAAATTTGGATTTTGTACAACCCACAATTCATTGTGTTATGTCTAATGGGTTATATTTTATACCAAAATAAATAGTTTTTATATAATGTTATTGTTCGCGCAATAAGCAATTAGCTTATCGCGGAAGACGACTCTGCGCGACGGCGACATCTCCCTTCTCGTCCAAACACCACTCCGTCCTTAAATTATTTAAATTATTCTAAAATAATATGTATATTTATTATCTTTGTTTTCTCGTTTGTGTAAATAAGTATTGGTCAGCTTTTGGACAATCTTATTATCATTTTCACATATCAATATTATCTGTTCTTTGTTATTGTTTACGTTTTTCGGCCAACGCCCTTGTTGTTGTTTTTTGTTATTGTTGGTGTACGTACAAAAATTATTCTCTTTTTTTGCTTGTCCCGCTATTACAGCGGTGGCTTTTCTTCGTTGTTATTATATTTTTTTTAAGTCGCATTGAGCGCATAGTATTTATCAAAATTATTATTATTAGTATTGTTACCAGAGATTCGCCGGATCATTGTGATCCAACAATTATTGTTATTTATATCGTCCGTTATCCGTTATTGTAACGGACAACGCACTTTTGTGTTTCAAAAATAAATATCCATCGTTACCAGCAATATTCGTGAGTTATTCTAAATTATTTATTAACATTCGTCTGGTTGCTGGAAATTGTCCGACATCGGATTTGGTGCCATATGTTTTGCGTAAGTCCGCCAGCAACAAATACGTTGTGTGAGAGGCCGCCCAGGTCGTCCAGATCTGTCTCCAGAGAGTTGTTGCGTAAGTCCGCCAGCAACAAATACGTTGTGTGAGAGGCCGCCCAGGTCGTCCAGTGTGTCGGGTCACTCCTCAGAGGGACTACCATTATTACAATCGTCTGCCTTAATTTTAAGCTAGTGTTAAGTCCCTGATCTGTGTGAGCTCTGTGGTCATTGCACCAAACCGATTCGACCACAGAGACCCCCCTCGATAACTAAACTGTACTTCCTGACTCCCATGTACTACCTCCCGTCCACGTCATAGAGTTCGTCGTCGTGAAATTGATTGCCTAACGTCACTTTGGTCAGGCGTAGATTGGGTTGCCTACTCAGACCAATAGTAGGCGTTTCTCTGACGTTTCCCAAACTTGGGTCTTTCGCTCTCGGTTAGCACCGAGTGGTCCTTCGGTCTGTGCCCCCCGTTCCGGGCGTAAACAGTTATATTATATTCTTTTATACATTAATTATTATACCCAAAATATATATATTATTATTCATTCAATAAATTACATTTTTTGACTTCATCAGTTGTGTTATTCTTATATTATATGCTTACCTAAATTTACCATTCCTATCAGTAGTGTACTCAGGATTCCCCAATAGGGGGAACCAAATATATTATAATATTATTATGTTTGTCGTCTAATCTTAGTTTTTAATATTGAATAGTTTATATTATATTTTTTTATATTACTTTTTTTCATGGTAAATAGGGAGAATTGAATCCCTTAGTCCCCCCACCCTGGGTACAACACTTGGTCCAAATATAGTTTATATATATATATATGTAATTAGTAGTCTTAACTAAAAATATTTAGTAACAATAATTATTTTTTTTAGTTACATATACTATAAATTCAATCAAAGTGTTTGGTTGGTTTAACTATAAAATATAGTTAATCAATATAGGTACCTACCTATATTAAAATTAGTAAGCCCGTGTATAAATTATTTATATACCTACTTATTTTTTAGTTTTTTATTACCAAAATTGTAGTATGTTTTATGAATTTTTCAAAAATAATATAAAAATGTAGCTGTATATATTTAAGAATATTTTGACAACTTTGACTGCATCATATTTCGATAATATTTAGTGCAACAAGTCAAGTCCCGAACCCTAAATTTATTTATATACGAAAACTGTAAAAACTTGGTTTTAATCTATACTTAAACACCCCCCATTTCATAATCCTGTCTACGCCACTGTAATAATGCATTTCCTAGGTAATACGTTACTGGTACGTGCGTAAGTACCTAGTACCTACTTACTTTGGTAATAGACAATAGTGTTCATTTCCTAGATAATTTTTAATCCAGACACCCACCACCCATTTTAGGTGATTCAAATCACGAACTACTACATAGGACTGGACACTCCTGACAAGGGGGGGGGGACACCGGTCACAAAGTTGTACGGGTATGTACGTTTACGACTGTGATGCTACTTAGTGACGTACTTGATTTACTGCATATTTTCGTACTTATATAACTATTATGAACGTAATATTTATATTATAATATAGACTTATGAAATATGAAAAAAAAAAAATAAAAACAAATCGATTAACTTAATGAATATTATTTCAATTTTGTTTAATTTCTATTTCAATTTCTATAATGAGTCTGTTGTATCTTTTTATATTATTATACTTCACATTATTTAATATGGGTCGCTTATGTTCATTATTAATAATAAGCGACAGTAGATTGAATAAAAGTAATAACGAAAATACTACTTTATTCTCATTAGGTTACAGCCTAGCGTGAACTGGTAAAATAGGGCACGGTATGCTACACAATTTAAAGGGCAAATAATAAAAATTGTTGGGGAAAAATTTAAAAAATGTAATTTATTCATAAAATATTAATATTATATTTTATTTTGTTTTAAAAAAATATTGAATATGATATACGTTAAAAACGTAAATAAGTACCAAGTTACAACAAACTTTCAATCAAAATTGTACAATATTATAGATTACTAAAATTCGTAAGTTGATAACGATCGTTTGTTCATTATAGGTGTCTAGAGTCTTTAAATATATAATAAATAATATTAGGCAAATATATTTTAGGGCAAGGGATGCTTTAGCATCCCAGCATCCCAGCCAGTCCGCGTCTGGTAATAGCAGAGCACCTTTTTTATGTTTCACATCTGCCAGGTGTCCCTGCTCAGCTTAATTTTTTTATACTAATAAATAATAATATTATTATTTAAGAGGACCCACAGGATATTTGTTGTCTTCTTGTTTCCGTCTTACAAGTGCATAACATATAGCACATTTACGATCAGCAGATCACGTTTAGCTCCGTTAGTTTCCCTTTCCCCAGAATAGTAACGATTATTTTCGTGTTCAGGCGCGGATCCAGCCTACATTAACGGGAAGGGCGGGGATTTTAAATAATATCTAAATATATTTACTATTTATCTACTGGTAAATACGAGTATATATTTATATATATATATTATAAATATGCAATAATTGCTTATTAATTATAAGTTATAACGAATATTTTTTTCCTAAGCTGAATTGAATGCCTTTATTGAATTATTTACTATTTAAAATTTCCCTTAAATTATCAAATACCTTTTTAAAATTCAATCGGTCTGCATAATATTGTTATCAACAATTTATAAATGTGTGTTATTAAAATAAAATACTACTGAATAATATTACAATACAATTTACATAAGATAACACAAAGTATTATTAAATTTAAATAATACGACCAATGGGGGGGGGGGGAGTGGCCCCTACCGCCCCCGACTGGATCCGCGCCTGAATTGTATACAAAAATACGATAAGGCTAGGTTAGAACGCTAAAGTACCTACTGACATACTTTTTATACAGAGCAAAATTAGTAAAAGAAAAAACATTAATTATGTTATATTTACGTAATTACGTACAAATTATAACATACCTATAGGGTATACAGTATAAGTTTTATATTTTTCTCTGGTCCGTTCGATCTTAGAATATGGCTCAGTTATTTGGAACTCTCACCAAGCTGATCTAATATATCCAGAATTGAACTTATTCAGGACAGGTTATTACGGGTACTTGCATACAGTAGCCTATATAGAAATAATTTTTGGCGTGGGCTATAATAATAGTAGATAGAAACTAGCAAGTGATCTATTACTTAGAGGCTATACAGTAACTGTCTACTATATATATTTAACAGTTTCTATAAATATATTCGTATTTGTTATTTTTCAACAGGCTCTGAAATATTATAACTTATAATAGTCCCTAATAAAATATATTGTTGTTTTATTTAAAAAAACTGTATATAGGGGGGGGGGCACTGTGCCCACCCACTATATGTATACAGTGGCGTACACACGGGGGGTTTTGGGTGTTCAAACCCCCCCCCTTAGTATTTTTTCAGTTTACGTAATAACGTAAAAATGTATAGTAAAAATGATGACAATTTAAAAAAGGTGGGCAAGTGGGTGTCGCTCTGCTGTACAGTAGGTTACAAGTGGGTCACTGTATAATGGATGGTATTAAATTTGAATACAATGATATAATATCATTGTATAAGAAAAACGATTCTGAGCGGTGACGGTATGTCAGTCTCTGTATAAGACATATTATATACATATCTATAGTATTAAACAAAACATTTACCTATAATAGGTACCTATAATAAATTCCAAATTAATCATATCACAATATCCATTAGATACTTACCTACAACGCGTTATACATGAACAAAAACCGTGATACTATTGATACTAACATAGATATATAATAGTACGCTTTAGAAGTTTCAAGTACCTACCCACGAATAATATTATTCAATCACAACAAAATAACTAAAATCGTAATTCTTGGTTTAAATATGAAATTTTGTCTAAATTTGAAATTAAAATGTCTGTAAAAAATAAGTGTGTTTATATATTTTTTAGATTTTTTGGTTACAGTATGAATAATTTAAGAGAATCTTTCTTTTAAATTTTCAACTCTTAGTTATAAAAACTGAACATTTTATAATTTATTAATTACAATGATTGATAATT